TGTGTTTGAGTAGTGAGCTACACTTATAATTCTCGTTTGACAAAAATGAATTAGACTGCGTGAAATTTGAACCTATAAAGTAGTTTTTGAAGGCCAAACAGTTTAATTAATTAAACGTAATACTTGAGTAAGAATTTATGACAATGATTGTATCAAATTGCAGTGTTGATAATTCAATCAGTCGTCTAAGCACATATCTAAAATATTAAACTGTAAATTTTGATTTTATCTAAGTAATGACGAATCCAATGTCGAAAAAGTAAAAAAGAGATCATATTAAAATAATAAACTTTTATATCATAGGATTTTGTTAACCCGACTCCTTTCTACGTTTATCTTGTCGAAATAATATGAGGTAGTAGAACTTCTGTACAAAATGCTTTTAATTTAAAACAGGTGAATTTACTATTTGCTATGTTTGAAGAGATTTCGAGTTCACCTAAATCTGCGAACTGAACGAAGACTCAATGACATAATGACCAAATAAGCTAACTATTCCTGTGCGTCCCAGATCCACTAACTAGAGAGAAAAGTCCAGGTTCAGAAGAGAGATAGCTATTCCATAAGCAGCCAGAAGCACGAACAACAACAAATGCAAGGCAAGCGTATATATGCAGCTTAAAAAATTTTTGGCAAAGGTTACAAAATAGCATACTAAAAAAGACAACGAACCTATGACATTTAAGGTTCTCTCAAGTGAGATATACGATATGAAGGTGAAAATGGTCATTTTTGGCTCACAAACACGAAATTCAGATTTCCAAAATAAAATTACAAAATAAGACATTTACCAAGCGTGTTCTTGGGATCTAGCATCCCCAACACTATCAACAACGTCGAATATATAATGGTTTAGACTATTTTGCTCTGTTCGTGATTGACGAATCCACAAGTTTAGTGATGCTTGCAAGTTCTACATGAATTACTGATCACTTAGCCTTTGCATACCTAACATCATATTGCGCGGGACGCTACTCATACGATTGCAGCGGAGTGTCGTACGGAAGTCACTTCAGTATACTACCGAAGACGAGTCACAGGAAGTCAAAAGCACGGCGAGTCCATAATACATATATGACAAGAAGATAAGCTATAGAAGTTTGTCTACAACCAGCATGGGATGCGGAACACACAGTAGGTGGAAATGGAAAGTTGCAGACAAATTGTGTTTATTTCATAAACAACCTATGTTCACATTTCATGTAGGCTCGACTAATGCGTACGTTACAAAGTTTATCACAATGTCTTTTAATATTTTTAATAGTATTATACACACTGATTGAATGTCATTGAATACATTATAGCAGCTCACGTAAATTGAGTTTGTTCAAATTCAATCTGGTCAAGCCCTTTTTGTTAACTTTTTTAACAGACAGAGACGTTCGTACAATAACAACTTATCTATACTATTGTATCTTTATTATTATTGAATACTTATGTAGTGAATATGTATGCTTGCTTGAACATTGCTTACTAACTACGCATATATTCATTCTGCTGGCCCTACTAATAGTCGCTTAATTGAATTCGATGATTCATTCATTTCCATTTATATATATATATATATACGTACATTTTAATCCTGTTCACTAACTCGTTCAATGACTCAATCACTCGCTTGGTTTGCGGCCTGTAATTTTGGCAGTTTGTGTGTGGTTCAATGATAAACGTAATCAACACCTTGCATTCGCCTTCTGATTTATGCACTGTTGAGGCGTTATCTAGTAACGGTTTTTAGGACGAACAATATGCTAAGTTTCGGGATAATGTCGAATACCGACCACCACAACATATTAATTTAATTTGACTGTAATAAGTATCAAAAGAAATCAGTTTCAGCAACTTAACCTTCATCAAATGATTGTATTTATCCATAATGCTTTACTTTTGTAGATGTCGCGATTGTCTTCCATCAGAAATATAATGCTCAGTTTAGGAAATCTGGTTGAGTACTTTCAATGTACATCTCTAGGCTATGTATCTGTCTTTGATTCTGTTCAAAGACCTCCGATGTTTTAGCGAATTTGTTGATGTAGAGAGAGAAAGCGGATTAGTTATGCTTTCTGAATGAGAACTGTATATTTTGTACAAAGGAAAATATTCTACTACCTCAATCGGTGAAATTAGTTTGACTTAAAGATATGTTCGTTCACTTATCACTTTTTTTCTTCCATTATTACGGGTTTCATCGTAAAATATTTGTCAGGTATGCCAGTTTCTTTCATTCTTGTAATGAATGGATTCTTAGTATATGACTGTCTATTTTGAATGTCCCCTTACAATCAAATATGTTAACTTTAATTAAAGACATTCAAATGATGTAGCCATTCCGCTACAGTCAGAATATTGCTATCTTATTGTGTTTTATAATAAATAGAGCTACTTTTAAGGATGAAGTAGCAAACATAACCTGAAGAAATTTTTCAACGCTATTAGTAAATCAGAAATCAGTTTATATGAATCAATTATTGGTTCTCCAATCTATTATGTAAAAACAAAGTCAATAAATCAATTCATCCATTTAACTACAAAGCATCTTCTCTTAATCTTCTATAATTTCTCAAAAGATCGTTAGCAGCTGCAACAAAATGGCAGTGAAAATGAACCGTCAGTATACAAATCTAGCACGGTAAATGGTTCTGACATATTAGTCTAATTGGCTATGTATTTAACACTTGGACTTCTAGTTCGATAAGTGAGCCGTGACCTGCTAATTACTAGATAGAAATATAATTATTCGTATGTATTTAAATGTACTCATTAAAGCTGTTTCATATTTCATTAGTCTTCATGTAAGTTTTTCTTCTGTCATCACTGGTTTTGCGAGGTTTTGCTAATATCGCTGAATGTTTTCCATTGAACTGACTATAAATTCAGTGTATGTGGTTACCATTCATAGTTCTATAAATTAAGTGTGAAATCTTAAATAAAAGAACAAAGATCTCGAATACATTTCAACTCTTTAATTTGTAATGAATTGAGGCATCCAGTTGTTAGTATCCTTGATTCAGTATTAAGTAATCTTAGTCAGCATATGTGGATTCCGTGCGGAGTGAACATCAATACTGCGATCTAAATGACTTGTTCCAAATAGAACGATCCTCGTATCCTTGATGTTAATGCTGGCCGAAATCCATCTCTTTTATTTTATTACTGTTTACAAAAAACTAATAAAGTACTTAACCATTGTATTAATCCATATTACTGAATAAGAATAACTATCCGAAATAGATTGACCAATAAATCCAATTTACCCATAGTTTAATATACAGTTCAAATCTACACAGGAAATAGAAAACAATGGAAATATCTAGAATAAACTGAAGAGGTATATGAAGTTAATACATTTAACTCGATTTTTCATTCCTAAAGCATACTTATACCTACGGACTTTTTTTGCTTTCATTTATTAAAAAATGCAGGGTCGATTGACGTTATGCTATCCCATCTTTTTGCCATTTTGTAACTAGAATTCTCAGTTGATCACTCTTCTGAGTAAACAGTTGACCAAAATGCATATTCATTGTTTGATTACTTCAGTAGTCTTTTAGCTACTTACTTTATGTAAGTGATGTGTTATGCACTTTTTACTGACTGAATGTAATGAAGTATCATGAATGTTATGTATTAAGTTAGTTGTTCAACATAATAAAATTACAATTCACTTCGTATAAGCCAAAAATCCTTTATTTTGTATTCATTAATTTCAGTCTCTTCACTAGGTTAATTCATTGCACTTTGAATCAACCTTCATTTTTCAGGACCATTTCTCCACATAATTAAATGTACTCTGCTATGGATTAATTCTCAGGCTTATTTTACACTTATCACACAAAATAAATTGGCGACTTAAGTAAATCAACTGTTGAATAATGGCAAATATTAAGAGGCTATAAATGTGTTAGTTTGTATGTGAATTTAATAAAACTTAAAATCTCCTTAACAGAGTATTATATATTTTTGTATAGCATAAAAAGTGTCGATCAACAGTGGTGATCTGCTATTCACTTCTCCCAATCCAATGAATGAATCCATGGATCTCCCGACTACAAAGTTAAATGAGGTTTTTATGCAGTGATTTGTCAGTAAATGCTTGATATATCTGTTCAAGTTCCGTTTCTTGTATCTTTGTCATGCATCATATCAATTAAGTTTCGCTATCTACGAGATTAGGTTATATTTCAAGATAGTTATATAGAGTGAAACTATCCCACCTGCGGTCAATAAAACGAAAAATAACTTGGCAATCAGTAAGCTAATCCTGATTGATTCTCCAACCATAATTTCAGCTACATTACCTGTTTGTTGATACAATGTTATCACCCGGCTGCTTTAGAATACTCAAGAAATTACGTTCCCCAATTAATATCCAAAGATTATGAAGTTATAATCCTTCAATACTGTCCCATGTGGATTGAAGTTGGCAACTCCACATGGAAGTAGCTTTTATGTCTATACAATTTACCAACAATCATATAAAACATTATGGATAGATTCAAACATTAACACTATAAAGTATTTTTCTTCAGGGTCAAGATTACCGCTAATTATCATTCTCACTATCATAACGCTGTTGCGTGTATAACTGCGAAAGACTTTTTGTGTTGATATTTTACTTTTGTATCACGTCTAGCTGAATGGATGAAGTACAAATTCACAGTTAAATGATTGCAGGTACCCACGGAATACGTGGCGAAATCAGATTGTCAGGGTTATAACACTAGGAAGCATGCTATTGGATAAAACATATGATGTTCTTATTGGTTGTAAATTTCGTGTGCATGTCGCATTCTCTAACAATGAAAGCTAATAACAATGCTAAATTCTGATTGGCCAACCACTTGGTGTCTCATTAGGAAAAAATTGATCGGATGTTGAACTTCATAAAGCGTCATTTTTAGAGCCATATAAAAGTCATCCAAATGTGACGAGAATTACTTTTTCAGCAGTTCCTTGATTGTCATCGGTCGACTTTTAGGTCACGCAATCTGGACGTGTTGATGAACAGCGAAAACGCGTTTAATCCTCAGGAATTTACTAAAACTAAGAATCATGTTCCTACATTGATGCTGACTGACGAGAATTCAGGTGAAGTGGTAAGTGCGAAGAGATGTTTTCGCTTGCCTATGGACATGGAAATTTACTGTATTTAACATAAAGTGTATTTACAAAAAAAGAAATACGTCTGTATACATTTTGTACTTAGTCAAGTTAGCAGTGGCTGTTGAGGAATTTCACCACATAGAAGATACATTTCTCATATCCATCAAAGAACATAATCAGCTATTTTACAAAAATGTTTTGTCATAAAAATCTAGCAGTAATTAAAGAGTCTGGACTAAATTTGTTCCTAAGATCTATTTGAACATGTGGAAACAAAAGTTGTAAATTATGTATGGTGCTTACGACCTTTTATTTCCAAAAATTTATGCTTTAATTTTAGGACATGTTAGTGTCAGTTCACATATTTCGTTATTGAACCTCAGTAACGTATTGTGATAAGTCTGTCACACTCCTTTGTATGAAGTAACCACTAAACACTTGTTCAGAGTAAGTATTTCTATATCATTTATCGCAAATCACTCTTCATATATAAATAAGCAATAAAGAACATAGGTTGTCGCCAATTATTTATGTATTTTGACATGTTACCCTACTGGCAGGATGTACTAATTACAACAGTAAACACTACCAGGTAGCTTCCACTAGTTAGATTAGGTATAATGCCATTCCGAGATCTAATATCAATTATATTATTCAGTCATGTTCCTGTTTAGAAACTTACAGTAATTGAGCTAAATGTTTGGCCTTGAAACCATGTGGTGTTTCCATAGTTTCTGATTGTCTATACCATCGAGTGCTTTCTGTACTCGGACTTCTATCTTTTCATTTTTGTATTACAGTGTGAAATTACTGTAAAAGACGAAAAAGGGAATGATGTAGATATAAGACTTGATTTAGAAAAACAACAAGCACGCGGTGGTTGGAATGGGAAACTGGAATTCGTTATGACGTGTATTGGTTATGCCGTGGGTCTTGGAAATGTATGGCGTTTTCCGTATTTATGTCATAAAAATGGTGGAGGTTAGTTATTTTTCTGTCATATACAAATAAATCTATTACCCTAATAAGTTTTGTACTGATCTCATGATTCCGAGAATGTTTATTTAGTGGATAGGTTTTGGAAAGGGGATGGTGTTCGGGGTAGTTTGCCTTCCAATCATAGGATATGCACATACCAACATGTGTTTGTCTTTAAATGTTTCGTATGATGATTAGTAACCGAAAGTTACTTATCGTAAATTAGCTTGGAATTTACGACAGACCTATTATCGCTGATGTTTACTTATTTTTAAACTATATGTATATGGAAATGCTATAAAGTTCGTTCTTCAAATACTGGATTTCCTAGCCACCTCGTTTCATGCAACTCCGAACATTTTATTAGACCCTTGTTAGCTGTGCATTTTCGGGTTCTTATCAATCCACGAATTGACTGTTAATTTTACGAACACTTCGTTTTAATGTAGCTGGTCGCTGCAGCGCTCATGAAACAAAATCTTTATCGACGTAATTAGCTAGTTTTAGGTGCATTGACTTTTATGATCACGTCTCGTTTCCGTACAAAAGTTGGTTTTCAGAATTCCAGTTTGGTCAATTTCAGTAGTGAAAGGACATAGAAATCATGTGATGTATTAGTGCAACAGATTGATCACTCAAACTAAAGAATATTAATGCGAAGACCGTTCATGAATAACAAAGTAAGTTAATGGAAACAATTCTTTAGAAAAACCTGGTTTCTGCATTCAATAATTTAAGTCCATGACTTGCTGAACTCAGAGTTTGTGAACATGTGTAATGTCTTTAATTATTTTTGACTACTGATTTGGGCATCACTGCGTCACTGATCTTAACACGATTTTCAGGTGTATTTTACCTTGAACTGACACAGTTATGGTTGAAATTATAGGCAAGACCATAATTTGCGGACGATCACTGAACAACACTATAGTGACCTAGAGTAAATGCAACCACTTATTAAAGTAAAAATAGGATTATCAATTAATGTGATGAATTAAGATTAAGATTTCGAGTTGGAAGTTGAGTTCAAAAGCTAAAGTTTACATCACGAACTAACGATATGAAAATTCAGTTCAATAAACAATTTAGATGTATCGAGTTCAAACCACGTTTCATTGATTGTATAGCTGCTTAATCAGATATGGATTCTCTTGAATGGGTTGATTTTTTTAAACTTCGGTGATATTTAAGGCTATTCAATTTAACTAAAAGAAATATTAACGATCTTGCTACAGCTTCGCTAAAAGAGTAAATATCCTGTAGACTGGGATAAAATTACATCTCATATTTTCAACGAAAAGAGAATTAGATTGTAAATTGTTAGTCAGATGTATTAACATTGATGGACTCTTGAATAAGAGAGTCGCTGTTCATTAGTAATATTGTGGGTTTGTTATTCATCACGGTTTCTGATCCTATACGCGAATCCCTCGTTCAAATCGTCTTCTGAACGGGAGTCGGTCTTTTGCCTTAATATTTAAGTATATTCGTTATGTATGTAGCAGTGGGATCCAGGACGTGAATCTTCATCTTATTTTTGGACCCGAAAATTATAAACTCTTACTAATACCATTACACCTGCCAAGCTAGTTAGTGTCTAGGTCCACTCACGATATAATTCTTTGAGGCTAAAGGGACAAGAATTAAGTCACACTATGAAGGTGAATACCGAAATTCAAGCACATCCAGCTTAGTACCCCCATATAGGACGAAATGCGCTTACTGAATTATATTACTGGGCCTATTTCAAACAATAGAGACTTGTGACTTGCAATTAGTTTTTACTCTGTACAGTGAATGTCTGCTGTTTTTTTTAGTGCAGTGTACACATGAACCATCAGGCTTAGGAATTAATTGGTATCAATCTTTGAGATTTGTGCTATCTAGGCAACTAATTTGCTAGTTGACTTACTAGTCATAGATTTGCTCATAATTATATATATATATATATATAAAACATTAAACATCAGTGTTTCATCATATGTATAGTTACTATACACACGACAGTGATATATTTCTGTCGTTTTATTTATTTTAATTATTAGGTGATATACTGTTTTCATTTTGTAGGAATTACAACTAGATTCAAGCCAAAAAATATAGTCAGTAAATCGATCATCTTTTTATACAAGCTTCACTCAAAAGTGACAGTTACTTTGTTTATTGAACTCTTACTCACAACATACGGTCAAAGTGATGATTTAAATTATGAGACTTCGTTTTATGTGCAATCGAATAAGCATTTTTATATGAGCTCGTAAATAATCTGGGGAATTTCATCTAAGTATATCTCTAAGTGATGAAATCAGTTCCACTTCATTGTCATTCACTACAGGAAATTGTGTAGTATTAATGTCATTTAGGTTTCATTTAGAAATTTCAGCCTAAGAAATTACATGGTTTTGTCATGTTCCATGTTATCAATTCATCATTTTAAAATAGTCTTATCGGATTAATTTATGGTGATTTTACCATTCAATTTCTAAGTATAGATTCTTCACATACGTTTGGTTTAACAAAAGAAACAGAATTATCGGTGGTAATTCAATTTATTTTTCTTTTAATTTATATAATTCTAATGGTAGGTGCATTTCTCATCCCCTATTGTTTGATGTTGATATTACTTGGACTTCCGTTATTTTTCCTTGAATTCGCATTTGGTCAGTTTGCAAGTTTGGGCCCTATATCTGTTTGGAATATTAGTCCATTATTTAAAGGCGAGTAGTTTTGTGATTTGATGTTAGAAATTTTAATCATTTAATAAATCATTTTGTTACTAAGTCCTTGTATCCGTATAAATTAAAGTATTATGACTAAGGTGGTTTCATTCACGGACTGACATGATAGATACTTTATAGACTTATCTATTCCAGAGATACGTTTTGATTATGCATAATTCAACTACATTTCTCATTTATCGTCGGAAATTAAAGGCTTATTGCTCTGTAGTTACTGAAATCTTATATGGTTTTCATTTATTCAACAAATTTCTGAAGACCAATGACGCAGAGACTGTGAGGTCATTATGAAGATCAGTTTTGCTTTAAGTTTACTTATTTCTCCTCCACGTATATGACAAAAAATACTGTATGTAATTGTTTGGCATTTGAGAAAATGTATTTTTACGAAAGTGTGATCACTCTTACTTGACCTTAAATACTACTCTGATACGGTAGTCAAGCTTGCTGATTATGATGGTTTAATCAAGCTACAATGGCTGTAGCATTCATTTCCTTAAGTCCTACCGCCTCAGGCAGAGCGGTTTATGAGTGAAAGCAGAAAAGACAGTGAGCCTAAGGTCCATAGGTAGTCGTACTATTGAATATTTCGGAGTAAAAGGTTAAGATCGACCTTAAAGATAACACACTCCACCTTCCATTGCCAGCGGTACCGCCTCAAAAGTAATTAACTAATAAATGTAGAACTGTTTGGAAAATGCCATGTGTAACCAGTCTCAAGCGATTGTTCCTTACGAGCGGTGGTAATTTAGAGAGTTAATCAATACCGCTTTTAACTGAGTCACTTTTTCTAATCCTTTAACTTCGAGTATCCTTCCACGAAGTGGTTAAATGAGGAATGACATTCGCTTTCTTAACTCTAAAAGAACAAGAGACCACCTGTTTATAACGTTGTTCACATGCGATTACGTAAAACAGGTAAAGGAATTTTTTCAATCTCTTTTACTGTTAGTTTAAATGATATGTTTCTCCATACATCCCTTGGAAAAAAAGGAATCAACGTGTGAATAAACACAGTATAAAGTCTTTGTCATTGTTTCAGAAGCGTTCAGTAGATCAATAGTTTTGTATTAGCTCTCTAATTAAACGATATATTATTTTTTATAGGTCTTAAATATTTTTAAAGTATGCGAACAGAGTTACAGTCTATTTTAATATTTAATAATTAACCATAATAAGCTTTGTCCTGTGTCCATTACAGTGAATCGGAGATGCAACAGTTGTATCGTTTGCTTGGAAGCACGGACCGATTAAAGGTAGACGACCATCGGAAATTACTGTTCCGCCGCAGTACGAGACTCCTCACCAGTGCCCATCCACGATACCACAACCGGGAATCAAACCCAGGGCCTTTGATCTCACGCACAAAAGACTAATCTCCAGACCCCTTTACGAGGATCCAATAGTACACTAATTTAACTTCAATCAAACGAAAATATCTCACAACCATCTGAAATTGTCTCCTGGAACTTTAATCACGCCTGACATGATTTAGCTTCACTGGTCTCAGCTTCTTTCATTATTTATTTCTGCTATGGCTGATAGTAATAACAATACGTCTCTTGAAAACATTTTCACTTTTCTGCTTCCAGGCATCGGTTATGCAATGGTCATTTTATCTTGGATACTTGTTGTATACTATCAAATTGTTGTAGCGCATTGTTTATACTTTCTATGCGCTAGTTTTACAAGCCGATTACCTTGGACAGATTGCGATCCATCTTGGAGTAGTTCGAATTGTATGGATGCATCTCGTGGTAAGTGTTATCAGTGAATATTGTAACTTCCACGTTGATTTATGGCTATTTTGGCAAATTCATAATCACATGCTTGCAAATAACTTTAAGTAGATAACGGTTGTGGATTTGCACCACTGAGGAGTCCCATATTAGGACGAAACGGCTATACAGTGCTTCTAGCTTTTCAATAGTGGTCTAGCTTATATCGACTCGTGAATCCAACTATGAGAATGGAACTATTGTTACAAGTCATCATAAGATGCTAGTATATTAGATGAATCAACTATGGCTTTAAACAACGTAATGGATAAAGGTCAAAATCTAATCCTTAACATTTAATAAACGTTGTTGAATAATTACGACTACCTATTGTCGTTCAATTCAGTTATTAAGCCTCAGCTCTTGTCTGGACTTTAAATAACTGTCTACTAATTAAAAACATTTTAATTTTTGAAAATTAGTATGATTTACAGTTGTGAGGTTTTTACTTGTGACGACACTTCACAATATAATTTCACTTTCGATTGATCCAACTGTTAATCCTAACGAACTACATATACATATGTATTTGTTCTTTTTCATTTTATAGCTAACTTTACTAATATTACAAATCCTAAAGCTCCATCAGAAGATTATTACTTGTAAGTAGTATATACTTTATGAAAATCATGTTTTTTCGCTGTATATGCATTTAACGACTTGTTTGTTTTATCGTTAATAACGTAACCATTCATTCACAGTTCCATATTTTTCAAATCATTGACGTTCAACGATAAAAAGTATATCAACGCTTCATTCATTTCAATCTCGTTAGCTGAACAACAACGTCTATCTACACTCAACCTGGTCACCACCTAAATAACACTGAAGTACCATCGCTAAGTGAGGTAATGTACAACTCGACTTCAAATTTCACTTCGGGATAGAACTTTTGTATCAAGATTGAAGATGACCTTCCTGACGAGTACCCAATTACACCAAACCTAGACTTCTTAATGAGTTACATAGACTACTAAACTTACTATATCTTAACTAACCATTTTTTTTATTATTTCTAACTCCCATCTAATTAAACTAAAATGAATGGAGTTACCGTAATCAAATTATCTTTCGACAAGAAAGTGGGTGTAATGAACAATGACTTAATTTCGACTCACCTCAAGTAATACATTTGTAAGAATAAATAAATAAAGTAGGTAATTATAGCTTCATATATTGTGGTAACTAACATCTATAAGCTGATTTTCCTGAAATACCCATCGAATTTTACACAGTTGAATTCATAAGTCAATTGAAGCTATACCACCATCAAAACTTGGAAGCACTGGACGGCCGTTTCGTCTTATTATGGGACTGCACAGCAGGGCGCATCCACGATCCTCACTCCCGAGATTCGAACCCAGGACCTATCAGTCTCGCGCGCGAGCATTTAACCACTAGACCAGTGAGCCGACATCCAACGGTGTTGATGTCTGACTTCAACCAATCCACGAAATTGAGCAATCGTTCACCATTGTCTTCAGTGAGTTACTATCTCAACAGACCTGGTCGAACTACACTGGTCACTGCTTCTCACTAGAACTCCAGGAAATACCTCATGAAGCTAGTCTAGTGCTTCCAGGTTTTCCATGGTGATCTAGCTTCAATCGACTCATGATTTCAACTACTGAAATCTCCACAAAACCCCATTCTAATAGTCATTTATTCATCTATCACCATTTAAAAGTTAACTCAATTGTTCTCATCCCTTTTACTTCAGTAATGAAGTACTTAAATTAAGCTCTGGTCTTGAAGAATTCGGTACGCCAAGTTGGTCATTATCACTATGTCTATTGACTTGTTGGATAATTTGTGCATTAGCTGTTATCAAAGGTGTACAATCACTTGGTAAAGTAAGTTATTTATATACTTCAGAATTTTAGTAATAATACTCAGTATAAAAAGAAATCTTAAAAGTGACTTGAATTCTGTAGTTCTCCTTCATCTAACTTTAACGAATAATATAAACAGTGAACACAGATGATGTAATTCAAAAGTATGAGTCCAACCTATTAATGTTTAGATGAATTACAATAAGTTCCACTGAAATCATGAATCAACATAAGTTAGGCTAACATAGAAGACCTGGAACACTGGATGTCCGTTTAGTCCTAGTATAAGTCTCCCACGCAGTGCACAACCACGATCCCACATGCGGTACTTGAACCCAGGACCTTCTGGCTTGCTTACGAACACTTAACATTTGAACCACTGACCCAGCACCTAACGATGCTAATGTTTACATTCAATCAAACTACCACATTGCTCGATCATTCTCCATTGTCTTCGGTAGGTAAGTAACTTATAATAAGTTTTTCTTATTATCTTATTGGTATTTATATTTGGGAGTTGATTTATTGATCATATTGTATTTTTGTGGATGACAGGAATTTTCATCATCCAATTATCGACAGTTATTTCGATCCAGATAGTTAATTCGCTTAGATATTTGAGTAATTAGAATTTGTACTTTCTATACCTAGTCATTAAATCAAAAGGCATATCATTACAAGACAAAATGTATTTAGGGATTCAGGTTGATGGACGTCTCAAACATAAAAATGATAGTATTATATTCTCCAGTTCAATTTCGTCAACAATTGTACCTTTTTCAAATTATTGAATAACCTACTATGCGAATGAGGGGAGGAAAATCGAAACCACGTAGGGAACTGTGTTGCTCAAACAAAATAATACTGGCCATGTAATTTTTTTGAACTGATCCAAATAGAAAAAGTGTGGCTGCTGGCTTTAGTAGATAAATAAACCAGAATAGCTCACACATATATGAACCCATTACCTATAACAGAGCTTGGCAACAACAAGTTACCCGTCTAGATTTTTCCAAGATATCAGAACATCACTATAATTTGAGTAGTGAATCGAGAATGGGATAGGGATCCAAGGAAAACTGAAACATGAACTGATCTAAGTTTTTATGACTGGTCTCGAGCTATGCGATTAGTGTGTCCATTTGTGCACCTCTCTCTGTAATATGTATCTTTGAGTGGACACAGCACAAACCGAAGTTGCTTGGCTTCCAATTGTTTTACATAATACTGATTCGAATTAGTAATCACCAATCAATCCATGCTTTTCAAAGTCAAATGTTATTTTAATTATTCACATAAATAATCACGACAGTGGAATAAACTTTCTCTTTTCTTCTCTATAGGTATCCTATTTTACAGGCATATTTCCATATGTTATGTTAACTATTCTCTTAATACGAAGTGTACTTCTTCCAGGTGCCAAAGATGGTGTACTTTATTACTTGACCCCTGATTTCTCACGTTTGAAAGATCCACAAGTATGGGCTGATGCTGCTACACAAATTTTTTTCTCTTTGGGCTGTTGCAACGGTGGTTTGATAACAATGTCGAGTTATAATAAATTTAAGAATAACTGTTGTAGGTAAGTTGGAAAAAACTAAACAAAATATGAAATAATTTTAGCGTAGAGAATTCATAATGACTGTTCACTTAATAGTTTACATAACGGACTAATATTTAAATAACAACCCCACTGATAATTAGGGTTTATCCAACAATCATTCCTTCATAGTATGGGACTGAAATTATGTCCGTATATGTGATCAACCGGATATCCATTACAATAGTCCTGTGTTCTAGTCTTAGTGAGGTTATAGGGTGCTTATTGTTCTCATGTCTCATACTATGCCAAAATAACAATTCAATTCATCTTGCTTCTTATTTAATTAAAGTCCGTTTTTTAATGTAAACCATGAAATATGTAACTTTATTTAAACAATGTAAGATGTATTAATAACAGTAATGCGTGTAATAATAGTGGTCCGATTGAACTGTTAGATAATAAAAAATGGTTTACAATTTTAGGAATTTCACTTTTTCGTGTATTTCTTAACTGTGGTTTCATAAACGATCTGGTTACTTGATCCCAATGAAAATTCATCTTTAATTTCATTTATTATACTCCTTGAATAATATCTTCAAACCCTAATTTTTCCTATTACTGCTTATACTTTTACTACCTCCACCACTATGGGGCTTGAATCGACAACTGTATCACTGTGCTAATGTATGGCAACTTGAATTGACGTACGTACGTACGAAGTTTTAAGTTGTTACTGTCTGTCATGGAATCGTTATTAGTCTTATGATATTTCAACCAATGTACTTTTCTCCGTGAATCTATTTAGTTATTTACTATGAAGGTATGATTTTCATGTACAAATCGATTATGTCTGATATTTTTCTTTTCTTTTAAGCGAGTTATTAATTTCAAAAGATTTTCACATAAACTGCGGTTAAGAGCAGTTTTGTGTTCAGAAATTGTTTAGTTATATAAATTAATTTACCACAAATCAATTGCGTTTATGGGAAATGGAATAATTTGGGAATATTTTTGTTCAGTTCAACGGGGCTAGTTTCAGTCAGTCACAACGTAGAACTTCGTAGGTACGTACATCAGTTCGAGTTGCCATACTACATTTGCACAGAGATCAAATTGTTGATTCAAATTCCATAGTGGTAGAAGTAGTCAGAGTATAAGCAGTAATCCGAAAAATTAGGGTTTGAAGATGTTATTCAAAAAGTGTAATACAGTGAAATAAATTTGGAAGGAGAAAAAGGATAGGGACATGAAGAATTCAGAAGATTAGGATTTGGGAGAACACGAGGAGTGGATGCACCTTCGCCATTGCAAACGATTTTGAGCCAAGTTATTCAAGGTCTCTAACCATCGGTTGCTATCATCTCGCGGATCCCAACCAGGTAGTCTACACCTACCAACATGGCTCAGACCACTTGTCACTTACTTCATGCACTTGTGCCACGTTTTGGTCTGGCCGCCTCTATCTTTCTTCCAACCCACTCCTACACCATAAAACATTGCACGTCGGGGCAGTCGGTGGTTGGGCATACGTAACACGTGTCCCAGCCATCTCAACTGATGAAGTTTCACTACTTCATCAATCCATTTGCCATCCTTGCCTAGTAGTCGTTTCCTAACGACTGCATTACTTACTCGGTGGTCCCACAGGACTAGTTTATCAATATTTAAATATGTGGAAAAGGATTTTTTCCAATTTTTATTAGCAACAAGATGCATTTTGGTAGTGTAATTATTGTTTTTCGAAGGCGAGACGGAAATATCATTTTTTCGATTGCAATCCAGTTTCACAGTTGATTATAAGTAGAGATCGTGCAACAATAAAAATTACTTACGCCTGTTACCCCTCGCCGAAGAGTATAGGTTACCTACCAGAACTCTCCGTTCAACCTTGTCCTGGGCAATCCTTTTCATATGTGCTTTTATCTCCCGGCGTAATGTATTCTTTGGCCTTCCTCTTTCCCTCATCCCTTCAGGATTCTAAGTTAAGGTTTGCCTCGTGATGCAGTTTGGTGGTTTCTATAATGTATGTTCTATCCACTTCCAACGTATTTTCCTAAATTCCTCTTTATCTGGAAGCTAGTAAATCCTCTCCTACAGAGGGCTGTTGCTGATGCTATCCGGACAATGGGTGTTGAGTATCTTCCATAGACAACTATTTACAAACACTTGTAAATGTTTGATGATGGTTGTAGTAGTTTTACACTTTCTAACCCCGTGCAGTAGGATTGTCTTGACGTTTGTATAGAAGATTGTGACCGAAGTTAAAATGCTTCCAAGTTTTCCATGGTGGTCTAGCTTCAATTGACTCACGCTTTCAACTATGTAAATACTAAATCTCCACAAAACCCCTTCTGATAACTGTGAAGTTAATTGACAGTTGGTTTGAGTTCCATATGTTCTTCAATTGTAGAAATGCTGCTCTTGTTTTTGCCAATCCTCGCCTTTACATGTGCATCAGATCTTCGTTGTTCATCAATAATTCTTCCCATGCAATGTGAATGTTTCCACATTTTCCAGAGCTCCGTCAAGTGTGATCGGCTTGGTGTTTTCTGTGTTGTATTTGAGAATCTTGCTTTTTCATGTGTGTATGTTGAGGACTATTGATGCATAGGCTGCTGCTACATTTACTGTCTTCATTTGTATTTGTTCACGTGTATGAGATAAGAGGGCTAGGTCATCTGCGAAGTCCAAATCATCTAAGTGATTTTGCGCTGCTCATTTTATTCCATGTTCCCCCTCAGATGTGGAAGTTTTCATAATCCAGTCAATCACGAGAAGAAAGAAGAATGAGTCCTTATAGAGATCCGTCCCTTATGATGATGCTTGTTGCGGCCCAGAACTTTCTGACACGTTGAAGTTAGTGCTTCTTTGAACCCTTTCCAGTCGTTTCCCATTGTAGTTTCTTCTTATTTCAGTAGATCTTGTAAAACTTGGGACTTGATGTTGAGAGTCCTCTTGAATTTCGTTGAGTTTGTTAGTATCTCTTCGGACGGGCGTGTTGAACATTTGTACTGCTGTTTGCCTAGCTTCCCAGTGTTTCTTTAGCTTCAGTTTCATCTCGAAAACCACCAGTAGATGATCTCAAGCTATGTCAGATTATCTCCTGATTCTCACTTCTTCCATTGTCCGTCTGAACTTTTTGGTGATACATAATTCATCGGGTCAGGATCCCAGTAGTGTGATCTTGTGAGACCCGTGTAGTTTTGTGTATGTGTATATGGAGAGAATATAGTGCCATCTATGAACATTTCAATATAGTGTAAATTCCTATTTTTACATTTGCAATTCCGTTACGTAGTAATCATATGATGACATATCGATTATTAGTTGGAAGAAAGAGGTTTATTAATAATCAAAGTAGTTATTCGAAAATCAAGCTGTTGCCGCGTTGCATAATATGTAAAAGGAGAAGAAAGAACTAACAAAATATTTTGGTGAATGGTCAGTAATATAGTAGTTTTGTAAGAATCAAGAGACGAATTTAGAGGATAATTAAAATACAAAAATGGAAGGAATACGAAAATTGTTTACCCAAGTTCTGCTACAGACTCAGCTATATCGATGGCTAGGGTAGTGAGAGTGGTTGTACAAACTTCTTTTGGATACAAAGGTTCGGTTTGGGAACATGGATTGCGATTGCTTCAGCTATGTACAAAAGACAAATTCGTAAACCATGCGGCGAATTTGATGGAATGTGGTAGATAACCTTAAAAGCTTTATTCAGTTCAACTTGATGACCTGTGTCCACCAAGTGAGCGAGAATAGAACTCTCAATCACTTGTACTTGTCCTTTGCTCAACCACTACGGATGGTGTTCTGTTATTCGTAGACGAACTTGCCAAATTGTACGCCCTATATAACTGGCTCCACAGGAGCAGTTGAATTGGTAAATACACATAGATGTGGCGAATTCAGTCAATATATGTCTTTGATTAACCGTTCCTATTGTGGGGCGGTTGTAGAAGATGGTACTCAGTCTAGCTGCATTAAATGTTTTTTGTACTGTCTTTCTTAACCTATGTGTCACATAGGTAGCATCATTTAGAAATTGTAATTCTAAGAAAAATACCTTCTTTGGAACGGTAGGTACCCTTGTCTTTCTTTTCGTCTCCTTCATAAGTTTCATATGAATTTCATTGGGTATCCATTCCTACTAAACAAGTTGCGAATATTAACCAATTCATCTAAAGTAATATCATCAGAGTAAATCATTCTAGCATGATGAGTCAGGATCTTTATCAAGTTTCTTTTGTATAACACTCGTTGAGTGTTATTCCTTTATTGTGAATATATATATATATATTAGTGTAGAACCATGATGAAAAACTAATTGAAAAGAAATTCCTTCGCTCGATTCGTTCCTTTTTTTATATGACTAGTTTGCTTAGTAAACATAAATTTTGAAATCTCGCACCAATTTCGTCCTTTTTATTTAATCAGTGCATGTCGTCCTATGATATCTTAATATTCAGTGTTTTGCATTCAGACTCTGGCATTTAGATCTGCCATCAGGGTGGTCAGTTCTTTTCACGGACACTTCGCTATGATTGATTGCAGCATTTCATAGAACTGATCTTTATCATCGTCATGGCTATCATTGATGGGTGCATAACACTGGATAACATTGGTTGTGTTCTCCTCCTTCTTTGTTTTGAATGATGCTTTGATAATTTTGCAGCCATGAAGTTCCCACCCTACAATTGCATTTCATGTTTCTTTGGATAGCATTATGGCAACTCCCTTAGTGTGTGAAGCATTTTGATTTTTGTGACCGGAGTGCAGCAACATCTCTGCTGTATCTAGGCTTTGCTGTACAGCTTTGGTCTAATGGGTTTCGCTGGTTCCAAGAACTGTCAAGTTGTATCTCCTCGTTTCCGTTGTTATAAAAATAATCGTTATAATTATCGTTTCGTATATACAATCTTGGTTATTACTCAATGTACTGGTTTACTGAAGAGATTCATCTAATATAATGTTCTATATACATCTCTACAATAATGAAGCGAGTGATTTAATTACGCTAAAGTTAATGATTTAAT